CGGAGGGTTTGAGTTTGTCCTTGGATTTGGGCATCTTGCTCCTCCAAGCGACAGTGGAGGTGATCTGCTGGGCCTTGTGTTTGGCCGCAGTGTTCTGTCATGATGGGTTCACTGGTGTGACCCAATAATGCAGAACACCACTGAAGCGGAAACTGGAGTAAAAGGTTTAACAGAGTTTATTGTCACAAGCACACTGAGAATTACTGGTTCTGGTTCAGGCCTGGGGAACTGGTTCACTGGAGTCTGCGTGGGAGACAGTTCAGTTAGCGTTGCGCATAGGAGTTTGATTCTTGACAGTTTCAGATCTGTACCTTGAGGATTCTTGGTTAAAGCCTTGAGAGGGAAACTGTTGGGTCCGGAGATGGTTTGTTCAGCAGAGTCCGCAAGCTGCTTCAGCGTCTTACTTCTTAAGAGTGAGCAGACCTTGACTTTGAGTTTCCAGCTCTTGGTCCAGAGCTGCATGGAAGTTCAGAGAGAGGCTTCAGGTTTGGCTCAGAGGGCAGGCTCGGCAGGTTAAGCTCTTCCTGAGCTTCACAGGAGAAAAACTGGTTTCCTGGAAGACAGAGACAAAGGTTAAAATCCAGACTGGATTCAGAAGTCGACAAAGGTTCTCAGAGATACTAGGCTTAGGTGCTAACCAACTGGATCAACACTGCGGCGTTGAGGCAAGGTCTAAAGACAGCTTAAGTACTGTGGATCCTCTAATGGTGGAATGAGCTCCAGCTGTGCAGGAGGCTCGACTCAGGAGGATCCACGGCGGACTCTGCTTGAGGAAGGTGGTACTTCTCCAGCTCCCAACAAAGACAAGACAAAATACAATTATTCTCTACGTTTCTTTTACATAGTGAGCTTTGCAATATAAATGACTCTGTTGGTGAATGAACAGTATAAATATGTTCTGCCTTTTCTTGTTAGAAAAACATGGTTATGACCTGTTCTCAGCTCAGGAACTATGATATCTGGTTGTTCAATAGGTTTGCCTAAACAAAAGATTTAGATATGACTTATCAATATTTCCCACAAAAAGGTCTGATGTTACAGGGGCAGGTAATGAAAAGTGTTTACACAAATTTGAAGAGGGGAGGAGGGCTTGCAGGAAAACTGGAATTCTCCGGGACATCTAGTGTTAAACACTGATATACCATTAGTGTTCATGTGTTCCTCAGATGCTCATTACATTCCCATTACCAAGTTTGATCAAGAGTGATTTAGTGAAATCTTATTGTCTATTTGCTGCTAGCTATTTCAAAGAGGGTAAAGAATGATTTGACTAAAGGTAATTGTTTCTTGATTAAGGAAATCCTTCAATTAAACATTATTTTAGCCAAATAATGTTTTATTTACCTCATGGATCTGCATTGTGAATTGGTCTGAAAACATTCCGATTTGAAATTAGTGAAAAGCTAATTCATCATATCCCAAATGATCATCATTCCAAAGCATAGAGATGTCTGTGGCATGCACTCACTTAACATAGACCTACGTAATCCTACAATAACATGATATTTACAGTTGATTTATTAAAAATGCCTTTCAGTAAAAGTCTACAGCAATAACTCCAATAAAAAACAATAATTTCATTCAAAATGTATTTATTAAAAATGCTTAACAATTCCTGTAATAAATTAATAGCACAATGAAAGACATAATGTCTCATTTAAACATCCTTTACTTAACAATAAAAGTTAACAATAACTCTCAACTCCCAATAACAGATGATACTCAGCCTCAGTAATGAACGAAATAAGGTCTCTTCTGTAGGCTATTGGAAAAAATTAATTAACCAATAAGCTAATTAACAAAAAATACCTCTTGTGTAGCAAAAAATTTTCAAAATGTACCTAAAACTAACAAACATATCAATAGACTATCTTTACTTTCGGAGTCCAGGTAGCTTTTCAGATTCCTTGCACCTCCATTGGACACCAAGACATATGTGCCTGCTTTGCACACTGTGCACAAGGCCTCCCGTTTGTCTCGATCCGGTCTGAAAGTGGGGAAACTCTTTTGTAAATCGTCGGTAAACATACATTTGCGCTTTTGCATGTTGTTGGCGTACTGACAGCCACGCAATCTATATTCTGATTAAGAACAGGGCTGCCCGCACTGATTACAGGGCTCAGGGATTACGTCACACGCAGCATCATGCGCAGTGCCCTAGTGCCTGTAAATTTAATGGTCCAAACAAGGTAATTTAAAAAATCTGGACATTTCCTCACTTTCTAAAAAAAACCCGGGACACCAGGGACAGAACATGAAATACAGATATGTCCCGGGAAATACGGACGTTTGGTCACCCTATTATATGGTAATGTTGTAAGTTCAGTGAGAAGAGCTAGATTCTTTCTGGGAGCTGTGAGAGAGACACTTCCTGGCTGACATTTAGATAAAATGGGAAAGTGTGAAGAAGCTCTCTTCAAATTTAATCTTCTGACCCACATGCAGAATCAAGTCAGTTCAAATTTAGAAAAAGGGTTTATATACAAAACAAAACAGAAATAGACAATTCTTATTACTTCAAGAGTGTGAGGAGGTTCCGTGAATGGTAGTGTCTGTAATGAGAGAGGAGTTAATTGTGGCTAGAAACCTTTGATAGGGAATTGAAAATGAGAGCTTACTTGAGAAACTTTAAGCGGCTGTGGAGGGAAGAAGGCCTCTGTCCCGTGTGGAGAGGTGGATGGTATATCTTGTAAATCATTTCATCATCCAGCACTGAGTGAAGGCTCTGTTGCACTTTTAATCCCCACACTCTGATGAAGCTGACAAGCTCCAACTGTGTAGGCATCCCAGGTAATCTACCAAGATCCTGTCAGGAAAAGATGCATCACTCACACTCAAACACACACAGAAACCCTGACACTCTGTCTTCCAGTGGGGTTTCCCCTGTATTGGCCTTAATGTAAAGCCCAATAGGAGGTGAAATCTTCCTCTGAAATTTGTGTTTATATCAATGATTTTGTTGAACGTGACTGGAATAAATTCTGTTAATGCTTAAACATGTTTCCTCCTTTGTGTAAGCTATCTGAGAAACAATTTCTCCATTTGATTTGGACCTGGTAATAAACAGGTCCTACAACAATGTCATGACACACACTTTATTTTCTGTTTAGCCCCAATCTTTCCTAAATTAGAAATAATTTAACTTAATGCAATCTGATCATTATTTTTAAACCAGTAGATCTCAAAAGAAGAGACAGAACACCAACTCAATGGAGTTTTAAAAGGTACATAACTTTATTTTGGTACATTTTTTTTAAACAATGATCTACACAAAACTTATCACACCGATATAACTTTGATAGTAAAAAAAACCCAACTTGAACCAAAACAAATCAAGCCATTTAAGAAAATCAACATCACTAAGACAGCAACAGACGATCCAGAGAAGCATGTTAATACATCAAGTTATATGGTTCAAAATCCTAAAAGAGATGTTGCTTCAGAATCAGAATCAGAAATACTTTAATAATCCCAGAGGTAAATTACTTACTTAAATTAATTACTGCTTAAGGAACAGATAATTATCTGAAGAAAATACAAACATAGAATGCATATTTAAAAAGGTTAGATTGGGCTCATCCAGCCAGCTAACAAGACACATTGTCTGGGATCTGAAGAAATAGTGCCATTTAAAAATTATATTCATTTAGGAGAAATGAAAACTTATACGGCATGTAATTTATTGCGACGTACAAAAAGCATACAAAGCATTTATGTGGTTTCTGGCTACACAAAGGAGACATATAGCCCACCCTTCCTTCTAAGAATCAGCTTCTCCATTTGACTTTTTTGTTGCCCTGCAACTTTGAAGCTGTCAACTGCATCCACCCACCCGGTGCTAGGCTCACAAGCACTGAACAACTATCTCCTTTCTCTTTCTCTTCATGGTGCATCTTAATCACACTTATCTAACCCCCTCCTGGGTGACACACATAAATAAAATCTGTCAGACGTGTCTTAACACTACCTCCCAAGACAAGATTAGTAAATATGGTAACTTGATAACTAATCATTGCTGACGGTTTTGGTATAACTCAACATCTTGACTGCAGGCCTCAAGATGCAGCATCACCAGAAGAACAAAACATACTTTTAAATAGTTTTTTTTATATTGGTTGTCCAATTTTTCAGGTTGTGAATTCCTCTTTTTTTAAATTCCACATGTTGATGTGAATATGTAACCCTACTGTTTCTATTTTTTTAAACCCAAAATATAACTGCATTAAATTTGTGTGTTTATTTTCCTTGCTTTTCAAAAATATTGTTAATTATTTAAAGACACACCGTCACTTTGTGACCTAAAGAGTTGATTCATAAGAGTTATTTTTAATTATTCCTCAGGCCAATATACAGCTCTTGACACTATCAATACTAACAGCGGGGCTCCCCTCTTAAAATACCGTCTATGTAAGTTAGGAGAAGACGCATCGTCATTGGGGACAATGGGGGTATAGCCACAGGCTCTTATATTCTTATGGAGCTAAGTCTTTTGCTCTGCTATTTTTCCGCTTGCTCGGCTAATTTTCATGACTGAGGCAAGGAAAAATTTAAAACCTTCTGAGGAGGCTGAAAAGAAAACGAGAAAGGATCGTGCGAAAGGCACAAAAAGAGGCGATCTTGGAAAGGAGTTTGTTCATTGACACAGGCTGAAAGAAGAAGCCGGATGTAAAACCGATTTTCTTTTCTCAACTTTATTATTAGAATGGTTAGTTAACACATTACTCCTGTTATACAGTAATAGATGTTATTATTTTCAATGTTTAGTAGAAGCAAAATACGAGCAAAGAAGGACGCTAGATGTGAAAGTTACAGGTGTAACGCCCCTAGTTGTCAAAAGTTACTAAGTGTGTCTTTTTCAGTTTTGATCATTATTCATCAATAAATAAAACAAAAAAGTAATGTAATGAAACCCTGTCAACATAATTGATGAAAAATGATTCTGCCTTCTAGCAATCCATTATAAAAAAATTGTGATTTATTTCTGAAAATATTTAGCCACATTGGAAGATCATGGAAAAGTGGCATGTTATTCAAATTGTTTCGTCAGTCCCATCAATTATACATTCTTTTACTGCAGTACTGAGCTCATCCTCTGCCTCATAAATGATACATTCTCTGTCTTTTGTCATGAATTCTATTTTGACTGTTTGCTTCTCTCCACTAATCAGGTTGATTCCTGTAGCTGTTATCTCTGTTGAGCCAAACTGAATTTCTAGGTTGACTTTATGCCCTCCAGTGATGTCTACAATGAATGAACCAACCTCATCCACCCCCCAGTCATCTACATAAACTAGATCCTTGCTAAATGAGCGGTAGAATATAAACATTATTTTCCTCTGATCTGCTGTAATTGGACCACATAGGAACTTTCTGGTTTCCTCTGATCCAACATCCTCACCTTCTTCCACTAGTTTACGGAAAATATCGTCACTCCATTCCACGCCTCCTGCTGTAAATTTCTTTTCTTGCTTGTGTTTCCTCTCATCAAACTTCTCACAAACAGCAAATCCATAAGTATAGGAACTTTTACGAGAAATAACAACCTGTGGGTTTCTACCAAACTCTACAGCTCCCCTCACAATTGCTTCCTGGGCCCTGAAAGGACACAGAACCTTACACTCATGTCCAAACTGATCAATAATGTGCTGCTGCAGTATTTTACTCTGAGCGTACCCCCCCACTAACAGAATGTAATTAACATTGAGACCAGAGTTGAAGATTTCCCTCAGGTTATGGGTGATGCCCTCCAGACTTTCTTTAAAGAAAGACCTCAGTTTGTCTTGAGAGATTTTGATGTAGTCACCATCCCAGGAAGCGTCGGGGTCTGACTTGATGAAGTTTTCTGTTCCTGACTTTTCTTTAGCCAATGACACAAGTTTAAATGGGCAGCTGATCTGAATATCTGTATCTGATTGTTTGAGACGGGTAAAATCATACATGATTCTCTGAGCTGAACTGGGAGAGTTTTGTTCAAATTCATCCCAAACTCCATCAGGGAGTATTTCTCTTAAAAATTTTTTAAATTTTCTGTCCACAGTTTGTCCTCCTAGATTGTTTCCAGAGACCTTGTGCAGCTCCTTCAGGGCTCCTCCATCCTGGACTTCATGGACAGTGATGTCAATAGTTCCTCCTTAAAGGAACAGATGTGATAATGATGGTTTATTCCTTTAAACAGTCACATTCTTTTGTTTTAGTTCACAACAGTTTGCAAATAATAACCATAATTTGTCATAATGTTCCTGTGTGTAGAGATTAAAATGTTTAGTGATTGAATCAATGATTAAATGAAAGAGAATCACAGACATTACCTCCACAGTCAACAACAATGTACTGAGTCCCTGGAGACTGATCCAGTGACTCTTTGCTGTGGTTCTCAGAGATGAAACCGTCTGGTGGAAGCTTCTTACACCAGATTGAAGCTGCTTCTGGCTCAAGAGCAATAATCAGTTTCTCATCCCCTCCTTCTGTTACAATACCTGCCTACAAAGAAAACAACTCCTATCCCTTTGAACATCTCGTGACTTCGTTGTTCTGTGTAAAATCTGGTGTTACCTGTTTTGCAACTTTTCTCATAAACTGTTTAGCTGACTCATCCCAGATGGCAGGAACTGTCAGGACCCAGGTGAAGTCAGAGGGAATGAACTTCCTCCCCCCTGTGTTGGCTATGATGGTAGTCAGAGCGTCATCCTTCAGGAATCTCAGGGACTCTGAGAAAACCTTTAGTGCCTCCATTGATTTCCCGCTGGCATCTTTAATCTTAAGATCGCTGCTGAGTTTCTGGAAGTGTTTATGTAAATGACAGTTAGTATATTCCTGATGTATTTTAAATCATTTTAATCTTTTAATAACAAATGTTTACATTTTCCTTTGATGTTCTCAAGTTAACAATTTGAAAATAATTATTGAATTCCATCTCAACACCTTTTTATTCTCTTCTGGTGTTCAAAGGTTTTATCACAATCAGAATTTATATCGAACAAACTACTAACTTAACATCAACCTAAGTAACTCCAATGTAAAGTGCAGAAATCATTGTATGTGCAGACATTATTTATGTTATTTTTATGATAAGCAGGTGAATGTTTAGCTAAAGATCAACTTAAAATGCAGCATTTTTTAGTGCAAATATTAAAGCACATTACCGTCCAATAATGTACTGCACTTACTTTGCTGTAGAGATCCATCTTGAAGTCTTCAAACAAATAATGTTTTTTTGCTTCTTCTCCACTCATGTCCTTGTATTTCATTTGGGCTTCAAAACCAAAACTAAGAAACTCTTTATCTTCATTAAACAAAATGGAGGTTGGAGTCTTTGGGGTGTCAAAGCCATACTCTTTTCCCCATTGATTCAATCGAGGTTCACTTTCTTCCTCTATGGGTCTGATATTAAAGGCATATCCACTAAATGCTGTCCCAAAGTCTATTGCTATGATAAATGCGTCACCCATTGCAAAGGAAACTTCTGTTAGTCAAGGAAAGGACAAATGTCACTGTGCCATGAAGCAGCAGTCAGACAACATTTATTCTTCCCCCTGTAAACCACGCCTCCTGCTATTACTGTACTTTTTTTCTGGCCAAAATAGGATCAGCATTGACAATATTTGTTTTTCTGCCGTGTAATTTATTGTTTTCTATGCACATGTATTTTTGAAGATACAGCTGTGCATGAAAGCATACATACCCTCCCGTTAAAGAAATAATAATAAATAATAATTTACTAAATTATTTTAGTTCAATAGAATATTGATTTTAATGTAAAAACATAATTCCAAAAAGCAAACTGTCGAAGACAAATTAAAGCAACTTTCTGATGAACAGTGGACCAACATCCCTGTCAACAGCTGTAGAGGTCTGAACATTTCAAGTGTTTTCCTTACAGAAAACAGGTAGACTAACGTTGGACCCAGAGGAGTAAAGGATCAGACTGTCATGTGGTTTTCCAGAAGTGGACTTGAACGGATCATCTGGAGGTTTCCCCTTGCTTAGTGTGACTAAGATAATCCTTCCAGGGGGGAAGAAGGTCCAGGCTTATCCAGTGTTCGAGGAAGTCTTCCTGCCGAAGAACAAAGACAAAGCAAGCTTAGACTCAGAGAGACAAAAGTAAGGTTAGGCTCTGCTAATCTCAGTATGGCTAGAGCACCCAATACTGGTAAACACTCTGGCGACGAGCCAGGACAGGGCACTGGAGTCCTAACATGTATAGCCTCTGCAACCATCAAATCTGTCTCTCTTGAGGTTCTGCAATCATTGTCACGCGCCTCAAAAAAACCCTGACTATGGGTCGGACGGTCGCAAACCTAAGCAGATCTCAAGTAGAAGTGCGCAGACAAAAACGCTGCTATGATTGGTCCATGGTATGCCTTTCTGGCTGTCTGTGTGGTTGTCCTTCTCTATTCGGTGCCCGGGGCGTGCCATTTTAAAAACAATGGAAAGCTATGACGAAAGGTTAATCAAGGAAGTTGGGAAGTACAACCACTTGTACGATGCCTCAGACAAATTATATAAATAAATATATGTAAATATATGTAACACAAAACCTGAAATTATATTCCTGGCCCCCTACTGTTCACCATTTTGTGGAATATAACTTCATTAAAAGCAGAACTCACAAATACTCAAGGGGTTTTTTTTTTCACAGGAAAACAGGCAATAAGTGTTACAATATCAATCTGAGACGAAAGAAAAAAAAAATCCAACCACTTAGTAGGATTATGTAGATTTTGTTAGCAAACAAAGATTTATTTAAAAAATAATAATAATATAAAAAAGATCGCACTATTACCAAGAATCCAAAGTTTCATTCAATAATATCTAAAAAAAAAACCTTCACAACCAAGTAAACTCAAAATCTCAATTTATATCTGCAAAAAAAAAACAAAAAAAAAACAACCCTAATAACTAAAAGTCCAAAACTGTCCGTTCTTTTTAGTTTTAATAATAATGTCCAAATAGAAGTTCCATATGCTCTGAAACCAAAGTAAAAATCCTGGAGGCGTTTAAGTCCAAAGTCTTTTCCAAAACAAAAAATCCAAACGACAAACCACCCCACAAAAACCCCCAGAAAGAAAAATAAGGTTCAGATCTCACCGGACCATCTTTCTTTCCCCTGGGTGAGGTCTCCTTGCACCGGGCGGTGTCCTCTGGGTGCAAACTCCGATCAGTTTTCTATATGAACTGCGGGGATCTGCGGCATTGCGACAAACTCTGACTGTGTTTTACCTTTCTTCATTATTTTTTGACTTGTTTTTAACAGACAACCAGACAAAAACTCCCGCTTCACAGACCTGTCAGTGTGCGTCTTCCTCACCGGTCCCCTTTTTATTAAGAAATTTCTCCACGCCAAAATAACCCAGCATATTAATTCCCATCATCATTTTTTAACCAGTGGAGATTTAAAATAATATTACCAATGACATAACTGTTCTACAAGACAGTTTGTTATCGGTACACTTTAATGTACTTTATACAAAAAGAGAAAAATAATATAGTGGTTATGTTACAGTATAAATGTTTTGAGTGTGCCTGTTTGAATAAGAGCAATAATAGAGACATCCTGACCATTCTCTTTGCTATACTGTTTAGGGGGACAGAAAGCAGATGCTACCATACTTTGAACAAGGGTGAAGGAAGGTTATGAGAGATAATGAGTTCACACAGCCTTCCTCATGCCGCCGCTAAAATTTATGTCTGATATCATGATGGGTCTAATATGTTTGACCGACATGCAGAAGCACTTCACAGATACCTAAAAAGATTTAACAGTTTCTTTTAGGGAACTGTACACAGATAGGTAAAACAGTTTTCCAGCTTGGGGAGGTTCCAGCAGTCTGGTAAACCAGAAGCAGAAGCTCTAGGAGGAGATCAGAGTGGTGAGTTCAAGGACTGTGGGAAAACTGTCCAAAGGTCTGAATACAAGGGTTCTTGGACTCACTCTGGTAGTTAGGGAGGTTTTCTGAGATCCCGTTTGTAGGCAGACTATGGGAATCCTGAAGAGTAACTTAGCAGACTGACTCTTGGTTCCTGATGGGCTCAGCATTCAGATGAGATCTGTCTCCTTTTCTCAGTGTGACGATTGTTTCCCTTCCAAACTTGAAGGGCCAGTTTATCCAAAGGATCTGGAAAATCCTGCCGGAGAATCAAAGACAAAATAAGTTTAAGACTGAAGAGCTCTGAAGACACTTATACTCAAAGTTGACTCGGCAAATTCAGAGGGGCTAGAGTACCCAGTACTAACAAACACTCTGGCGAGGAAATGAAGACAGTCTGCTCCTTAAATATTCTTTGGGGACTGATGACCCAATGGGCTGCAGGTGTGAGGTGAGAAGGAAAGGAACACCCTTCTGACCAGCAGAGGACAATGGCACCATCTAGTGGGTGCACGGGGAAACTGCAAAAGAACATAAACAAGCCCAACAAACTGGAATCCTAACTGTACCCCCCTTTAACGACCACCACCTGGCGGGCCAGAAGAACCACAGGGCTGAGACAAACGAAAATCAGAAATGAGAGAGGCGTCCAAAATACAGGAGCCCAGAACCCAAGGGCGGTCCTCAGGTCCATAACCCTCCCAATAGACCAAATATTGCCAACCCCGCCCACGGCAGCAGGCATCCACTATCCGCGAACCATGTAGGCGGGGTGGCCGTCGATGTCCAAAGGGGGAGGGGGCTCAGCGGTTGAAGGGACTGGAGTGAACCGGTTTGATTTGAGAGACGTGGAAAGTGGGATGGATTCTGAGGGAGGTAGACAAGCGTAAGGTGACAGCTGAAGGATCAACGATCCTTTCCACCTCATAAGGACATAGGTTTGAGTGGGATGTCCCTTGTGGATAGCCACACCTTTTGGCCAGGGGAGAACGTAGGGGCGACCCTCCTCCTATGATCTGCCCAACGACTGTTCTGTTCCGTCGAACGATTAAGGGACGCCACAGCCCTGTTGCAAACTGCCTTATAGCAGCAGACATGGTGCTGAACAGATGTCACCAAGAGGTCCTTCTCTTCTGCCGGGACTGAGCATGTTCTACTTAGGGTTGAGGCTCCAATCGGAGGGGTTGGCTGTGGTTAGGCATCTGAGTGTAGCTTCTAACTCCTGGTTCATCCATTCCACTTGGCCGTTAGACTGTGGGTGATAGCCAGAAGTGGGGAAAACTTGGGCCAAAGTTCTCTCCAAACCTGAGAGATGAACTGAGGTCCTCGGTCAGAGAGGATGTCTTGAGGTATCCCATGAAGGCAGAAAACATGTTTTATTTTTTTTTTTTTTTTTTACAGTGTCCTGTCTGGCAATGTTGCAATACGAATAATTGTCTTGATGCCAAAAATAGCCCAACAGATTTTACTTTCACAAGTGTAGCAGTATGGCAATTGCCATATTGCTCCACTTGTTTCATGCATACACATTGGTTTAATTATAATTATGCAGGGAGTTTTACAGTTTATATGGGCACTGCAATGTAAATAGAGCAGAAAAACAGAAGAAGAAAAGGAAAAAAGAAAGAGAAAAGATGAAAGAAAGAAGAGAAAGGAGACAATGACAAAACATTTTCAGTCTGCTTCATCACCTGTAATAAATCAACACCTTGAAACTATCGCTAAAGTAATATTATTAAGTCTGACATGTACTCTGTGTTAACTGAAGATACTGATGTGGGCTTTCTGTATGGAAGTGAATCTCTGAGTACCTGGAGCCTAGCACCTGTAATTTTATAGAAATAGAAAAATGCTCAATAGTGGTTGTGGAGAGCCAGAGAAGTACACCCCCCAGAGCACTGAGTCCAGCGCCGGGAGACCGAAAGCCCCAGGCGCCCAAAGGGACCCCGGAAATCGGACCCCCACCAAGGGAGGAGGAGAGACAGCCCCCCAGCCACCGCCATGCCGGCGCCCCGGGAAGCTCCCCTCCCCCCCAAACCGGTACCACAAGACCAGCATCGGAAAAAGCACCGCCCAGGAACCGGCATCGAAGCGAAGGCACCGGCACCGACAATCCCAGAACAACACCCGGCCCCACCCCGAAGCGAATCCAGTCCCAGGCCCCAAAGAATCCAAGGCCCCAGGAGCGCCCAACCCCCAGACAGGAGCCCCAGCAAAGCCCTGGCCGGCCGGGGCAGCGGAGAGGCCGCCAGGAATGAGCCGGCAGCCACCCGGGCATGCACCCCCAGACCCCAAGCCCCACCAGTGCACCGGCAAGCCCCGACACCAGCCAGCGGAGGGAGAGCAGGACGGGGGTAATGGGCTCCGCAGTTAGCGGAGACTTGAGATGTATTTGGGAGGGGGTGCAGTTGGGACCCCAACCTGGGAGAGGAAAAAAAAAAACACTCACAATCTCAATTATGCCATCCCTCCCTAGTACCCCCACTCGCACTACAGGAAAAAAAATAATAAAAATAAGAAATCTATATATAATAAAATAAAGTAAATAACTAAATAAATAATAAGAATAAATAAATAAATAAAATAAAA